CCAGAGGAAGCCTTGTAGGACGAAGCCTGGAACGTGGTCTGTTGGCACTTTGTATGTGGCAGATTTAGGTGCCTCTTGGGGGCACGGTCTTGGCACCCAGTTTAAACAGGTTGATGGTTCCATGAATAACTCTTTAACTCTTCCGTCTGCAGAAGAAGCGCCTGGAGAACGCGGGCTCGCTGCCCACGGACGAGTCGGCGTCGCGGCGCATGCAGAGCTTCCCCTACAGCGGAGGATTGTACGGGGGGCTGCCCCCCACCCACAACGAGGCGGGCTCGCAGTCCCACAGCGTGCACGGCACCGCGCTCATCGGGGGGCTGCCCATGCCCTACCCCAACCTCGCCCCCGATGTGGACTTGACTCCAGTTGTGCCCTCCACAGTGAACATGAACCCAGCTCCAAACCCCGCTGTCTTCAACCCCGAAGCTGTGAACGAACCCAAGAAGAAGAAATACGCCAAGGAGGCCTGGCCGGGCAAGAAGCCGACCCCGTCGCTGCTGATCTGAGCTGGGCTGAGGGAGGGTAGGAGTTACAACTCCAGAAACTTTTCATGTGCGGTATCGTCTTTTTAAAATTTCAGTGTCCTAACAGATGTAATACCAAGATTGGAGGAGTGAAATATCCTTTAAAGATCTGTCTTCAAATGTTTTTATATGTCTGTTATAAAAAAAAAAAAAATACAGCTCCCGTCTCCTTTTGAACCAAAACCCCTACAGCCTTTTCTTAGCCACCACTGTCCCAGAGGTCTTTGTGCTGAGTTTGGATCCACAAGTCAAAGGGGCAGTCACACAATTTCATTATCACTTATGGCATGACCCTGCAGGTCCGTGTATTTCAGTGCTGGGCTTGCTGTGGTGACACTGTTCCTGCTGGACATTCTCACAGCAGGGCAACTCTGTCAAGAGGAAATGTTTGTGGGGCCAAGCCTTGCAGAATCCCATTGGAAGGAGTTGTAGAATTTGCAGAGTTATAGGTCAGCTTTTATTTTTTATATTTTCAAAACCTCACCAATGTGGGGCATTGTCTTTTTTATTATTATTATTAATTTTAGTTTGGCTACAGCTTGTTTTGATTTCCACATAAAACACTAGATCATCCCATGAACTGAGATGGATAAGCAGGGAAGCAGGTGGGTTCCTTAGCTTTGTTGCAGTGCTGCAGAGTGGGGTCTGTGGGATGGATACAGGGTGCAAACAGTCGGGGCATCCAGCAGGATCAGGCACTGTGCCGTGGTGACTCCCCTGGATAACTCAGGGTGAAGTTAACACAGGGTGTAACTTCAGACTTGGTGGCCTCTGTAACTTAAATAGTTTCATTTTTATTTGCAAATGGAACTTTTAAGTTTAGACTGTATGAGATTCATCAAGACAAAAAGCTGGGAGGACCGGTGTGTTCCCCACACACTAATATTTTGGCTGCTGGAAACTGCAGGTGAGAATTGAGTGCTACTGAGAGCCAGAATAGGAATTCTCAGTGGACTTGGATTGTTGCTCAAGCCCTTTAGTTCCTTGGGTGTATTCACATGCTCAGACATATTGTGGCTGTACTTTACGCAAGGTAAGGCCAGAGCTTTATTCTTTATTCTGGATTTTTTACACACTCTAAATGCAGTTCAGCTATAAGTCACATTCCTTTGCTGTTTGGGGGATCCAGGAAATGTGCACTGAAATGAGAGCATGTACCTGGCTGTTCACTGTGTGCAGGACTGCAGCTCCTTGGGGAGGTAGTGCCAGGTTGTTGGGGCTGGGCTGTTTCCAGTGAGCTGGGATGCTGGATGGTGCTGGATCAGAGCTGTGTTCCAGGGAGATGGGATGCTGGATGGTGCTGGATCATTGCTGTGTTCCAGGGAGATGGGATGCTGGATGGTGCTGGATCAGAGCTGTGTTCCAGGGAGATGGGATGCTGGATGCACCAGACCCATTTCAGAGAGATGCCCCAAAATCTGTGAGTTCTGCTCCATGGTGATTGCTTCTATCATGTCCCTGAGGTGCCAGCAGGCAGCTGCCCACCTCACAAGAGCCATGGCTTGAGACTGCTCTGTTCCCTGCCCACACCATCACATGCAGCTCAGACTATTCCTTGTGTGGATTCAGCACCTGCTCCATGATCCAGCTGTGCTGCTCTGTGTTTAAGTTGCCATTGATGGTTCAGCTGTTGGGCATTTGTTCTGCTTCCTAGTGCTCCCACAATAACTCTTCCTCTTTAGTCTGGCCTCTACAATTTTCATTTCCCACCCAGTTGCTTTCTGAAGGCAACTCTTTAGAGTAAGACTAGTCAGGACAAACAAAAGTTGAGCAGGTTTCCTTCTTTT